CTTCATGCGTGCCTTTCTATGCCCCCTCAAAGAGGAAAAGCATTTTCAGCTGGTTTTGCCCCGGAAACGTTTGTCGCCTGCGATTCTAGTATGATAGTAAGGGAGGTTAGAGTGGTTTCATTCGGTAGCTTGATGGTCACGGGGATTCAAAGCAATTTACGAAATTATCTGGGACATTCACAAGAGTTCACAAAATGCCCCTCTATCTGACTATCGCCCAGTACCATAATTTGAGGAAAAAAACATCCTTGCTATTTATTCTTACATTTATCCTGTTTTCTGGAATAGTGCAGCATTTGCCACATCACAAATGTAGAGAGCGAGCAAAACTTTTAGAAGGCAAGGGCATGATAAATCCCCAAGACGAGTAGGATCAATACGCCTTGCAGTACATAAATTGGCCCCCTGAGGAGGGCCTGCGCGCCGCCTTTTTCAAGAAGGCCCTTTCTATAGCGCCGCCATCAATGCCGCAAATACTAACCCGTATGCCACGCACCCGCTCCGCCACGTCCGATGCTGATGCTCGTATCGCCTAATTTACAAAGTACAGCATGAAGCGAGGGGATTGATATGAAGCGGCTGCGTTGTAGTATGGAACATATCCGTATCTACCGTAGTGGTTTGGCCAAGGGGGAACTCGTCCGATTACTTGCTGAGTCGTGTAGAAAAAGGGTGTTTTGCGGTTTTTGACCGTTCACTTCATTTTTCGCGCAATTTCTCGCTATAATAGACACCTTCTGCTACGATTTCAGACTGAGTACACTATCGTGTCATTTGCCTTTTATACAATACGAATACGTGGGGTGGGTCAATGAAAAAACGAAAATGTTTATGGAGGGTACCCCTAGATTTTCTTTCGCACAGACTAACGGGGTAAATCTTCTGTACCCTTAGATTCCGTAAAAGTGACGTGCCTGGGATTTTGTGGCGCTTGGCGATAAAGTTGACTGCCAGGGTTACGTCTAGTGACGTTCCGCGGGAAGCTGGACGGTTGATTTCTTCCATCATTGTAGCAACACTGTGGGAATCTAAACACTGGTTACTCCACCGTTCGCAGCTGCTTCAGGCTGGCGCGATTACTCTAGGCAGTTTGAGCTCGGAACCGGAGCCGATGACAGATGGCTTTGCCATGTCGTGACCGTGCAGACTGAGGTAGTGCTTACTTTGCTCACAGAGAAAACTTTCGGGAACATCACATAATGGGACTTTCACGTAGCTTCCCTACCTGTGCGAACGTTAACTTTGGTGACCCCTTCTTTTATTAGCCATCCCTATTTTCTCTTTTTTGCATGTTCTGGTATTCTTTTAGTTTTTTTTTTCAGATTCGGTGTATTGAGGAGAAGGTGCGGTGTTACCTCGAAAATAGGATATTTTCGTTATAACAACCTTTCCCTCATGGTCCATATTGCGACTAGGCCTGTTTTCGTTTTCACGCACATATTATATTTGGTACAATTACAATACAAATGCGATGTTTACTGGGGAGCGAGTAAACTTTGGTAGTTGCTCGATCTTTGAGTTACTCTCCTACAGAGTGTGCAGAGCGACCGCGGACCCTGCGACGGCGCGGGACTAACGCTAGGGAGAAGAAGAGTGTGCAGAGGGACCGCTGGGCAGAAATAAAGACAGGCGATGTTTATTTAGAAATTTAACCTTTCACGTAAACAAAGCGAAAAGATAATCATCTCATGCTCGTCATCTTTCCCCCTCATTACTCCCCCACACAACTTTCGCAGGATGTCAACAACAGGCGCTGCAAAGAGAAGCAGAGCATGGTTCTACGGTTCCTTATTTAAACGGTATATAAGAGAACCAGTTTGACTGAGTCCTGTGTCAGTTGGCTGAAATCATATCCACTGTATCCGTGTGGCGCGTTATGAATTTTGGGAACGCGTATATTTCACACTCCGTTATCAGCTTTATCAACTGCTTATACTCGCTGTCTCCCATCCATACGTTTCTGTGCTAAGCTATATTCAACCCTGAACTGGTTAGTACTTGTTGACTGCAAAACGGATTGATTTCAGTGAAGCATCCCTTTTGACATTCCGTATAGGCATTACCATCGCAGATTCTTACCATTCATCATCTTGATATTGTCCTGCCTACCCCACCCCTCCCCCCTACGTCATTTATCGATTTGAACTCTCTACAGTTATACTACTTATCCCTGAGACAGAGTAAGCGTGGCATTTGAACATGGCATAGATTGGATTACTAGCGGGATATTTCAGTTCGAGACAACTGTAATCTTGTTTCAGTTTTGCATGCAGAGGCAAGCAGCATTTGACTGTAGAACATTGAATGCCGTCGAATAGAAGCTTCAATTAATAATCGAAATAAAACCGCTGAAAATTTGGGCGTATAAGGAGCGGGAACGGATGAAGGGTCAAGCGTCATTATACCAAATGATCAATGCAGAACTAGTGGATCGAGCGCTGCTCAAGACGACGACGGCTTTTCCACGGTCTACGGACAATTAGAACTCAATCCCTTTAATGGCGCCAACTCTCTGTTTTTCTCAGCGCTCTCACGTCCCCTTGGGGTTTTGTGACCATTCTTGATCATTTGACCAAAATCTTATCTCCTGTGCTGCGACATGTTTTTGTCGCTCTATGCCCTACGTACACCGCAGTCCTTGTTTCCTCGGATTCTAGCCTTTCGCAGTGACACAAAAGGTTTCAGTTTGTCAGCTTAACCCTTTCCACACGATGATACTTTCAGAATGCTCAACGATTGGCGGGAGGAGCTGTTTTGGCTGCGATCCAACTCACGCCCCTTCACACGCCTTATCGTTTTCAGGAATCATGACTATAAATATTAACAGTGGCATTTTGCACACTCACTGCTTCACTTGTTCCGGTTTACAAGTCTCACTCTGGTGGAACCTGTGAATTTTTGTGAAGCTGGAGCAAGCTCGTCGAGCCACCATGGTAAAACCTGTCAACTCAAGAAAAGGCTACAGATGGGTCGACACGTCGATGGGAAGCAGTTATAAGTGCTGAATGCCCCTCGCCTTCCCCGAACTGCCCCTAGTAGTCTTTGGTTTCACATTCGACAATTAAAACAGGAATCGAACAGGAGAAGCTTCTAATTATGGACCAACTCATGAAAATCTTGAAAGTAACCGGCCTCAAAGGATGTTTTCCCTTTTCAAGGGAAAAAAACTGCGAGGATACACTGAAATCACCAAAAAAATGTCTCTGCTACTCTTTGATAGACCTAAAGGGACTTTATCAAGCAACTGCTCGTCACTTAAATGTAGTTTGCCATCTATTTTTGTCGCTTCACAAGGATTGTCAGAGGACTTTTCAAGTTCATGGCGAAATTCTGCGTGTGGCCCATGTTGGAAATCCTTCCAAAGACAAACCCCGCCACTGTATATTGTGGATAGTAGCCTTCAATTACAATCTTCAAGTGGCTAAATGACTCTCCAGGGAAGAAAAAAGAAAAAAAACATTGGGACACCCTAAACAGGGACCTAGCGGCCTCGCTGGACGAGTTTTCCGGACATATTTATGTCAGGAAAGCGAATTTCTGCTGCCTCTGGCACCTCAGTCGTTTCTTCGCGCCATCCAATGCTAATACCATCTAACCTTGACAAGAAAAGAAAAACGCAGGGTACTAATTGAACTCGTGAAAGAAATAGCCTTTGAGTTTTGGTGGGCGGGACAACTAGGGAGGCGTCAGAACTGCCACTTATGAGGACCGCAGCGCCTTCATTACTTACCGTACAGCCGCAAAAGGGAATAATCTCGGAGAAAGAGGACCAGTCCACTTTTTCAAGAGAGGGCGCCTACGAATTGCTTGAGCGCAAGAACTGTCTCTATGTGGTCAGCGAACGGCAAAGTTTTCAAAAGAATGAAAGGGAAGTCAATTATGTATGCGAAATTGGAGACCCACAAATTGTGTTATTCGTGAGACAAACTAATTTTCTGCAGCTCAAAGATGTCGCCAGTGCTGGCGAGTCAATACAAGATAGGGATCTCAATTCTAAAGTTCGATCATTTTCAAGTGACGTTGCATTAAAATTTGTTTATGAATTGTTAGATATTTATAG